CAGTCTCTGAGAACTAAGATGAGGATGCTCATAGCCATGAGTGCCAAATGGGGCATGGGGGATGGATGCATAAAGTTCTTAAACTTTCTGGGAGAGGCAGTATAGTTGCATGGAGAGAATTGGGCTTAGGGCCTTCAGTCTGGTTATACATCCTGCGTCCCCTTCCTTACAGTGGGTAGGGAGTCAGACAATCTCTCTAAGCATCATTTTCTTCATCTGTACAATAAGGAGATGATAAAACATCTTTCACGAGACACTTGGTGAATGAGTGAGTGTGTGTGTGTGTGTGTGTGTGTGTGTGTATGTGTGTGTGTTACTGGAGATGAAACCCAGGACCTCGCACATGCTAAGCAAGTGCTCTACTACTGAGCTTCATCCCTGGCCTTTTTATTTTGAGACAGGGTCTCACTAAATTACCAAGGCTGTCTTTGAACTTGCAATCCCCTTGTCTCAGCCTCCTGAGTAGCTGGGATTATAGTTGTATACAACTGTATCTGGCTCACCTGGTGAGTTCTAAGGGTTAAAATGCTCCACAGACTAAATATAAAGCCTCTTCATGTAGGGTGTTGTCACCATGACAAGCTGGCTCCCTGGGGATGGTCTCAAGAGCCTTTACCCCAGTACTCCATTTTCTTGGATTATAGCCTCATCTTTTATACCTTTGACTCTGCCACCTTTCACATGGCCTCTGCCTGCTTTCTTATAGTTCCAGTGGTCTTTGACCAGTCTTTCCTTGGGCTCTTTTAGGCTCCAACCAATAAGTGTCAAATGCCTGGCACAGTGGCACATGCCTGTAATCCCAGCAATTTGGGAGGACTGAAGATTTGAGGCTAGCCTTAGCATCTTTGTAAGGCCCTCAGCAATTTAGTGAGATCGTGCTTCAAAATAAAAAATAAGCAGGGCTAGGGATATGACTCAGTGGTAAAGTGCCTCTGGGTTCAATCCCCAATACCAAAAACAAACACTGAACAAACAAAAACTGGCATTGATCAACCTATTCTGTGTTGATTCAAGGACATCCCCTCGGGCTGGGGATGTGGCTCAAGGGGTAGCCGATCGCTTGGTATGCATGTGGCCCAGGTTCGATCCTCAGCACTACATACAAACAAAGATGTTGTGTCCGCCGAAAACTAACTAACTAACTAAATAAATATATATATTTTTTTAAAAAAGGACATCCCCTCTCTAGCAAGCGCAGGACACCCTCCAGCGCACTGTACCTTTCCAAGTCCTGCTCCATTATAATCTCCACCTGCACCCCAACCTCAAAACCTGCTTCTCTTTTCTGGCTTCATCCAATTTTCCTTTTTCTCCACTCTGTCTAGACCATGGACAACTTCTTTCAAATGAAGTTCCCTCCCTCCAACTCTCCATTCCAGTGAATGGCTTCATGCTATGTCCCTGGAGACTTACCCTAACAGGTCCCACCTTGGCCCTCCTCTTTCTGTTCTGCTGCCATAGGGGCCTGTGCTGCAGTGTGCTGGCCTGTGGTTATAGCTCACCCCAGTCCCTAGATTCCAGTCTGTCTGTTCCTCTGGGTTGGGAGAAAGGAGTAGTTATGGTGGGGTGTGATGGCTTCAGGCTGAGGTACCTGCGATCGGGTAGGATGGGAACAAGCACTCTGGAGTTGGATGTGTGTGTTTGGGGATGGGCCACTCACAGTGTAATAGGGACACACTTTCCTATGGAAGTATTTCTGCCTTGGCCCCCACCCAGAGCCAGGAGCCAATTTGTGAGTAGGAAACAGGAGATGAGCATCGCTCGCAGGTAAGAGTTGGCAGAGGGTGTCTTTGACCTGTCTTGGCCCTTCTGGGGGCACCTTCCTGAATGGAACCCTTGTTCTTCCCACCCTCATCCCCTACCCCAGCAGGTCTTCTCATCTGCCCTTTGCACCAGCCTCAGCCACACCACAGCTCACTGTGTACTGGAGGCCTCCACACCCAGGGCAGGACCTCTGACTCTGACGGTCTCCTGTTTTACGT